AGGTGCCCAAAAAGGGGCCATAATTTTGACGACTACCCATGTGGATAAGAGGTCTAGGGCTTTAGGGATTCGGATCTAGGGGTTTACGCTCTCGCAACTCGGACATACCTGACGAGGTCTCGGTCTCCGCAAGAATTTTGACTGATCTGCACGAGAAGCTGATGATCCATGGGGATTACGGTACGGGTTTCGGGTTTAATACGGGGCTTTTTGCCTCCTGCATTGCTGGGAGAATCACTAGGCAGATGGGTTTAGAGCTTAGGGTTTTAATTGTTGCGGCTTCTGGGACGTAGGATTTCTAGGGTCTAGGCTTGTGGGGTTAAGAGCCCTTTGTTTTTAAGATCTGGTCCTAGACCCGGAAAATGCTGTAAGGGCACGCTGCCGGCAGCCTCTGTTGACAGAAGTGTCCCTGTGTTCTGCTCAGAGAGGAGCCGACACGAACGTAAGATTTTACGTTTTTCGGAAACCGTCACGGCTCGTACTTCGGGCGACAATCCAATCCTGTAGCAGCACTGTGAAGAAGCGCTGGGAGTTTTCTCAAGGCGTATATGACCAATCTTGCTGAACAATTTGAGAACGTCCAAACCACAAAGTCCCAGAGCCCTTCCCCTAAAAGTCCAAAGGACCCAATAATTAGGTACTCGGTTGAATGATAGTAGTTCTGTAGGTTACTAGTTTGGAGAGTATATGATAGTCAGGTACTTGGACCCTTAGGGGTCCTTTCTCAGGCATGTCCTACAACTGTGCTGGTCCAGGAGGAAGACTGCCGCGAAAAGGCACGGAGTCAGTTGGAAACTGGCCAGGCAAAGCGGTTTGGGGACTCTCCCTGCCACCTCTTAGGTGCGCAGGAACTCTTGTTCTGGGGTTCGTCACCACTTGCTTCTTGATTTGTGCAAACGTCTCAGCGACTTGCCAGTAGGCCCAATGAACCACCCAAGTTTGGGTGTCCTTAGAGCCGTTAAGGAAGACGCAAATCCTACCCGCCAATTTCTTAACCATTAAGTGATCTGGGAGGTACATAATGCTGAGAACACAGGTGCAAACAGTACGAATCTAGGCTCAAGCTGTGAGGCTCCAAAAGAGTCCTATAAGGCTTAAAGTTTAGGCTTATAGTGCTGTTTTTGCATGCCCCTGTTACGTCCGCCAGCTTTGAAAGCGGTATTCCGCTGGGTGTAGGAGCTGGCATCTTTTAGGGTTGAGTGCTTCGGGATTCTACTTAAAGTCCCTATCAATGTTATCTAAGAGTCTCCTCGCTTTTATTGCAAAAAGTGATGCAGGCACAGCCCCTGGCCTTCACAGCCAGGGTACTGATGTCATGTGACCCTGCTCAATTCGTCTGGTTTGGGGCTTACCCCAAAGGGTCCAAGTAGTAACCATATACTCCCCCAAATACAAAACTACATACATAACCACTATCCTAAACTTTACTGGGTCCTTTGGAACCTTACGGCTAGAGATACTAGGGTGCTGACCTTCAACTGGGAGGGTTTTGAAGGAAATGCCCAGGGGATCTTCAGTTGGGGATTCAATGCTTCAGGAACCCCAAGGGTCCAAAGGCTCCGATAATTAGGTACTCGGTTTTAGGATAGAGTTACAGTAGAAGCCAGAAAGTTGGAATATGATTATCCTAAACCCTTTATGGTAAATTATAGGGTATCCTACCCCGAAACCATATTCCAACTTTCTGGAAAACCTTTATGTAGGTTAGGATTTCGAAGAGTATATGACCATTAGGTACTTGGACACGTGAGGGAAGGGTTTGTCTTTGCAAGTCTCTGCGAGTCTTACAGAAGCCACCCGTGCATTCACTCAACTCTTGAACTTGATGTTGGTCGAGATGTGCTTGACTGATCATCTGCTAAATTTCGACTGAGCAGGGCCTCTTCGAAGAAGTTAATTAATTAAGTTCTCTGTGAGATGTGAGACGGCTGATACTGTACAATCGCCATAGCAGGTCGTATTCGGCACAGACCACAGCTGCAGCAGCAGCACTGCAGAACAGGTCCGAAAACAGTAGTCAGTGCGCGCCAGCAAGTGACATGGCAACAGATGTGGTGCAGCAGGTCACACCATATCTGCTCAACAAAGCAATCCAAAAAGGACGGGAGGGTGGCGCAACTAACCCTCTAATGCTCCAGAATATGGTTCGTAAGTGATCTGCAACACAGAAGCGGTCAAAATCCACCCTCCCAGCCATCGCTTAAGACGCAAATGACATACCCGCGGTCGCCCTCAGGTTTGTGCTTTAGGCAACCTAGCCGGTCAGCATTCCATGCACGCAGCGTGCCCGTCGAACCGACTCTAGGGAGGCGAAATATAGGGCTTTCGAAACTGTTGATTATATATAAATCTTGCATTACCCATAACAAGGAATATACCCAAAGTCTCATAGTTTAGGGTCCTTAAGGAAATGCAGGATTTCTATCATCAATAGGGACCTCAGCAATCACTAGTAGAACGGTGAGGTTGTGGTGTATGCTATGCGAGTAGCTAGTAAAGAACCCCAGAAATCACAGCACTGTTTCTCCAGACCTTCGCAAAGGATCTTAGACTTAGTAAGCCCTATAGAGGACCAGTAAGACTACTGGAGTATGTTCCGCAGATACGTTCAAGCAATGGTAGGGGACTGTGTGTAATTGGTCTCCTACAGTTCTACACGTAAAGTTCACTCCTGCACTTGTAACGTCTGGACTAAGCTAACCAGTGGTTTTGGGGTTCCCTTGGCTCTTTAGCTCCTTATTTAAGAGGGATTATCATCTTTCCTGGCTCCTTAGCTCCCCCAATCTCAATGCTTAGTAAGTGCCATGAGCTCGCAGGTGGGAGGAACCCACAGCCATGGGGGTGTGGGTAGGCTTTAGGGGTTTAGGGGCTCTAGGGTCTCTGTCGAAAATAAGGTGCCCTTTAGGGTCCTTTTTGTAAGTGTGCTACGCTATTTTGGGGCCAGAAAGGGACCCAAATTTAGAAAACTACCGAGGTGATGCGAGTATCAAAGCTTTGGCACCGGTAGATTTTCACCACTTAGGACTTAGGAGGAACAGCAATGCTGAGTTCAGTGCTGCATTGAATATTACAGCTGGTTCTTGCCCCTTTCAGCACTGAGCCCCATATAAGACTATCGTTCTCCAGGTTGTCTCCTCGAAAAGGCTCCACGATTTTGGAACGCTGCGGAGCTGAATGTTCTCATGCCCACTGTGCTCCAGATTTTGGAGCTGATGTGCCTCAAAGTGCTTTGTACACATCACCGTTATTCTGTTGGTAACAAAAGGCTTCAGGAAGAGCTCCGAAGCCACTAACGCAGTCTCTTGCGCAGGCCCCTGCCCTAAGACCAATGCTACACAACATGATGAAGTATATACTCTGAGAGTCTGAGAGGTTCAAGGCCTTATTTGGCGTTTTGGTCTTTGGTTTAGGGTATGAAGTACTCTGAGAAGTTTAAGGCCTTACTTGGCGTTTTGGGTCTGGTCTGCGGTTTAGGGTTAATTGTGGACGCCTTTTGCTATTTATGCAGGGGTCGGTGCCATGAAAGGATCCCTATAAGCCATAAACCATAGGCAGCTCAGGTTCGCACTCTGAACTCTGACCCTTTTTGCATCCAGCCTGCAACGCCTCTGCTGGGAAGTAATGGAGCTACTAAAGCAAACCTTCAAGTCTGCCGTGCCACTCATCAGGTATGACTCTAAACTCGAAATCCAGGGGCCTGCGAATTGCTAGGGTACTCAGTCAAGACTCCCAAGGCCAGGCACCTGCAACAAAGGGCGGAGGCTGAGGTTAGACATTACGGGCGGCTTCTGGCGAGGGCTTTACGGCTCATACATGGTGCTTTACAGTTTAGGTGTTTGAGTCCTCAGGGTTTCTATGTCTATCTAGGGCTTTGGATTCCAGAATCATGGCTCCCAGCAGGTGATGAGCGGTTGAGGATCGAGGACTTAGGCTCCAGGAATGATAACTCACACAGTTTTCCGATTTCCGAGTCGCCAACAGATACATTTTTACCCAAAACCCCACTGTGCAACAATCGCAGCAATGCTTGCAACTATCACCATGAACGTACATAGCAGCTTTGGTATCGAGCCTGCTTCGGAATATGTGGGCAAGCACATCCTAAAGCCTCAACCCTGCAACCCCCAGCCCTAACTCCTACACGTCACCTCTTCAATCGCTTACCGTAAGCTGCCCGTCTCTTCGCCACGTAGGTCAGTGGAGTGCTTCAGGGTCGCTTCATGGTGCCTTTTCGGAGGTTGGTGTACCATAAACCCTCAAGGATTCAAGGCGTCGCTCTGAAGGGAACCACGTCTACATATTATTCTGCAGTGCCCTGCATGCTGCAGAGTGGCTCGGCGAATTGATGGTTTCTGGACGATTTCAAGCCATGCTGTACTTGTCCTAACTTAGCCTGCTGTGGTAACAAGTAGGTGGCACCACAAAGCCTCACGAAATATGATGCTTGAAACCCCCAATTCTTCGGACTCCCGCTTCGAACTACCGGGCTCTACCGCAAGCTCGCACATGCAATCATCCTCCCCTGCTCCCTAAAAGCCTCAACCGGACTCAACCGTCAATCATGCACCCATCTCCCAAAAGAAGGAACGAACCCCCGCAACCCTAAATCCTAAACCCTAAGTCCCTCTTTAAGCATGGGCTTGCAGTGTATGCCTAAATCCCTAAACCCCTAAACCCAAACTCTCCGTCAGCCCTTAAAGGAACACTGGCTGCCCTCTGGAGGCCCTGTTGTCAACATTATGGTCCCTTTCTGGGTCCCTAATTTCGTACGGCACCTGATATTTAGGGTACCCGGAAAGCGGCCATAAATTAGACAACCGCCCACATGGAGGTTCATGGGTAGCTATAATTAAGTGGGGCTATGTGGGGTTAGGAGCCCCTCAACATGGGTTATAAATCTAGTTACCCTACTTATAGCCCCACTGATAACTACACATGAACCTCCAGGTAGACCTATGAAACAGGACCTCAACCCCCCCTAAGACGCTCTTGAAACGGCCTTAGGCTGACTCCAGCTGCTTCTTGGCTTCCTTTCGGCTTGGGGGTTCGTCGGTTCATCGTTTCTGGAGCTTATGGCCTCCGACTGATGGGGACTAAAACCGGCTCCCTTTTTGGTATTGGGTAATTTTATAAGGAACCTAGGACTACACAAAGGGAATAAGGGTAGTACTGGGATCCTCGTATATTGTGAGCTTAGGTTTTGTGAGGGTTCGGCCTTCATCGTTGATGGGGCTCTTTGCCTCCGACTTCTTGGGCTTGGGGGATTTATTCAAAGGGTTTAGGGGGGCTTGGGGTTTCGGCGCTCACACTCGGTTTGGGGTTTAGGGTTGAGGGCTTTGGATTTGAAGTTGTGGAGATCGTAGAGCTGGGATGATACAGGACGTCTTGGGGGATTTTAACGCTAGGGTGATACAGCTAGTTCATTGTTGGGGTAGGATTAAAAATGTACATTTATATTCCTTAATTATTGGCAATTCTTGGGATGAAGTACCCATAGAAATGTAAAATGTTACCCAACTGTGACAAAGACAGGGGTCCAGCCTCAGGACCTTGCGTTACGGGTTGTCCGCCTGCGAAGACGAACGGCCATGAAATACTTGGAGCAAAAATGAGGCATACCCAGAAGCATTGAGAAGTCCAGAAAAAACGCAGATGTCCTGCGAGCACTTATGTCAACCACTCATTTTATATTGGACCCAGGCTGGACCCGGACTCTGATCAAACATTCACCGTGAGCCCTTATCGCTCTTTTGTACTAACTGCAGCTAACATGAGTGAGTACTAGTCGTAGTTCACCAGCAGTGAAACTCATTTTTGGGTAATATTGCCTGATATGCGGGTTGTATTAACTGATGTTCGTTAACACTAGCCAGTATTGGTTAAGATTACCGAACACTTGACCCTAAACCGATGACTAGTACCGGAACCGTCCTGCGCAGTGCAGCCCTTGGCCGTGGCAGCGATGCTGATGAACTCGCCTAGGCAGACTGGGGCATAAACTGAAAACCTTTATAATACTTAGGGGCTGAGTATCCTAGCCCAAGAAACCTAGTCTTTTCAATTAGGGTAGGATTATGTTCATTCCAAGAGGCTAAAGGTTGCCAACCCAACTACCAAGTATATTATTTCAGAGTTTGTGCACTAGTGTTTGTGGCAACACCACGGGAAGTGTAGCATATTCCCTATCCCATTATGGTGGAGAATGCAACTACACCAGGTTTACCACATTCTCTCGGGCAATTGGAAATCCGGCACACACACACACACACACGCACACCGAGAGACAAATTTTCCTGTCTTTTATACACAGACGAACCATCCCTTGTGCTGTAGCTCATCGGGCACAAGCACACTAGGGAGTTGGAGTAGAGGAAGCAAAAAATGATCAAGTAGTAGCGAAAATGTATGGCCGCTACGATTGAACCCAGAGCCCTGGGTCAAAACTGAGTTCACCTTAAACCCTGAAGCAGGACAACTACGAACCCCTAACGGAAAAGGCCTAAACTCAAACCTCACAAGCTAACCACCAAAACCAGAACTCGCTCCCAAAGCCTGTGAAGGGGCTCTGCTCTCAGGGTCTGGAACCTTGGAATTCAGCTTAGTCAGGCACGGGTGGCTAAGAATAGAACTGGAGTGGCGGAATTCCGGTTGCAACACGAATAAGCTTCAAGCGAACCCTTCATATCCTACAGAAGTTGGGGGTACCAGAGTCCTGCAAAAACGTCCTAAGCCAAGTAACGGTGTCAAGCTTAGAAACCCTACAAACCCACTGAAGCTTGAACCAAACCCTAAACCCCTGGCCCTTTATGCCAGGAAGCTCTTTTGGAGGGCCTTCTGCACAATATCGTTGGCCTTCTCGGTCTTGAGTCTCTTCATGATGCCAATCCTTAGACACAATGACGTTGTTGGGGGGGGGGGGTGTTGAAGGCACCTCGCAAAAAGGGTAAATTATTAAGAGAGGTGTCCTAGTTTCACGTGCTACTTATGTCCCTACTTGTGACCTACTCACTTCGTCCCGGGGGTCTTCAGGCTTCAGGTACGGATTCAAGGCGCGGTACCGGGCTTTCAGGAATATACTAAACTAAACTGCATTATGCGATGCTGTACTGTATTTATGCAATACAAAACAAGTTACATAGTGACGATCAGGAGTGTTTCGGCCTGACAATCTTTCAGGGCGCCGGTCTGCAGGTTACCCTGGCTAAAGGGTTTCGGGTTTAGGAGGTTAGGCTTTCGGGTGTGCTAGGCGATTTGCCCTGTAAGTGTGTGGTTCATAGTTGGAAGGAAGGTACGTGAGATATTCCCGAGTAAGCGTCCTTACATAAGGAACCCGGAATCCTACCGATTTTATGGGGTTCCGACGGATACTCTTCGTAGGGGATGGAGCCACAGGCAGGCATACCTTGCCCGACAAAGCCCAACCCCTTTTGATTCGGGAACTTTCCTGAAGATATGATAGAGTGCTTGCCGTGGTTCGTAGCTACCAAAAGAGGGGACCCTAATATAGTACCCTAAATAGTAGAATCCTTGCTATAAGGACCCCCCAAGAAGGATCAAAAAGGTATCCCTAATTCTCTGAAAATCCCATATACCTGAATATGGCATGTTGTGTCCTTTCGGTACTTGGGGCCTGAGGCTGCCAGTCTGCCTGTACCATCAGTTCCCACTGCTCAAAGGGGAAAGGGTGGGACCCTTAATAAGGACCCCTAGGTATATACCCTTAATATAGCTATTATATACCCATTATATAGCCCATTATAGGGTAGGGGTCCCCATGAAGGGTTCCTCCTTTTCCCCTTCCCACTGCAGCTTGGGAGCAGGAGACTCCACCCTAGCCTCTTGTTGTCGTCATTGGAGACGAAGGTCGCGAGGGCTTTGAGAACAATCTGGGTTTAGGGTTTAGGGTTTAGGGTCATCTCAGGCCATGGAGGGAGCTGCGGGGATGTCTACAGAAGCATCATCCACTACCGATCTGCAAACGTGCTTTGCGTAGCACACACATACACTTGAATTCACATTCAGTCATTGTTCATGCATTCATTCCTTCCTTCCTTCCTTCATTCATTCATTCATTTATTTCATTCATTCATTCATTTCATTTCATTTCACTCATTTCATTCATTTCATTCATTTCATTCATTCATTCATTCATTCATTCATTCATTCATTCATTCTTTTCATTTATTCATTCATTCATTTTTAATTTATTCATTCATTCATTCATTCATTTCATTCATTCATTCATTCATTCACTCATTTCATTCATTCATTCATTCATTCATGCATTCATTCATGCATGCATGCATTCATTCATTCATTCATTCCATTCATTCATTCATGCATTCATTCATGCATGCATGCATTCATTCATTCATTCATTCCATTCATTCATTCATTCATTCCATGCATTCATTCATTCATTCATTCATTCATTCATTCATTCATTCATTCATTCATTTCATTCAGTCAATCAATCATTCATTCATTCATTCATTTCATTCAGTCATTCATTCATTTCATGCATTCATTCATTCATTCATTCATTCATGCATGCATGCATGCATGCATTCATTCATTCTTTCATTCTTTCATTTCATTCATTCATTCATTCATTCTTTCATTCATTCATTCATTCATTCATGCGTTCATAACACTTTTCATGTACATCATTCCTTTTCATTCACTCCATTCATGTCAGTCATTTCATGTCAATCATACATTTCATTCCTTGCCTCCTTCATTCAGTTCATTCAGTCATTCGTTCATTCATTACTTCATTCATTATTTCATTCCTCGCTTCCTTCCTTCATCCATGAGTTCACATTCATGCATTCCATTGAGCTTCATTCGCTCTTCATTTCATGTCTAACTCATTCGATTTCATGTCGTTCCGACTCCTTCCTTTGCATTCCATCTAATTCCATTTCGTTCCATGCCATTCCATTCCGCTTCATCCCATCCCATTCACTCCGCTTCGCCCTCTCCAGCAGTTCATCCATCCATCCATCCATCCATCCATCCATGCAGCTCATTACGTTCGTCCATTTCTTCCTTGCATACCATGTTAAACCATATGGTTATACGGCTCTCCATGCATGTATGCATTCATCGGTGCATTCACTAATTCATCCGTTCATTCATTCATGCACTCATGCCATTCGTTCCTTCCCCAGTCATCCCATTCCGATCTCACATCAGTTTTTTGGCATTTCATCCTTGCACCCATCCTTCGTTCCCTTCCTTTCTTCCTTCCTTCATTTCGTCTCATCTCATTTCACCTCATTGTATTTTGTCTTTCCGACTTTCATTGCACGAATGCATGCACACATCAATCCTTCCTTCATTCCTCCCTTCCGCCCTTCCGTGCAAACATCCATCCAAAAAGTGCCTACCTGCCCTATTGCCAACCTACCATGCCATATCACACCTCTCAAACAGAACCAAAAGGCGTCCATGTGCACACGAGCTTGCATGTATGCCAGCATGTGTACTTCGCATGCATGATCGTGCAGTGAGGCGGATTTGCAATAAACGCTGGCTAAGGACATACTAGTGCATGCGCGCGCAAGCATGGCCGAATGCCGATGAATTTACATGTGCGACGAGGCAAGAACACTAAGCATGGGTTCACATGCGTTTTGGTTTAATACTTGGTTGCCTCCACGAACCCAGCCCGTACATGCATCCAGCATGGATGCTCAAACGAATGTGTTAGCATCAATTCTGTGCACATGCACGACATACACAGACTCTCATCGATATCAAAAAGGGAGGGCTTTGCTTGCTTGCTTTGTGAGTGTTTCTGTGTGTGTGTGTGTGTGTGCGTGTCCGGGTATTGCTGTGCGTCTCTGCCTTCACCCCGAAGCCGAAGCCCTGAAACGCTGCTCCCGAGGAACGGCGTTGAACCCGTCACCCAGCATCAGGAGCCGAGCAAAAAGTGAGTGGACAAAGACGTCTGCAGTTGGCGTGTCCATCCTCGGATTCTCGCATGAAGAGACCTTTAATTCAGGGTCTAGAGGGCATGTCGACACATGGATATTTTTCTTTGAAGCCCTACAGGAGGGTTTCAGGGCTTACAGTTCTGGAAGGAGGGGCCCGAAGAGCATGCTTCTGCCATGTTTTGCTTTCGGGAAATAGTTCCATGATGGAAAGCTATCTGGAGACTCTGGGCTATACCTGCAACCGCGGTTTCACTCAGGGCGTGGGGTCTGCCGGACCTCGACTCCTACGTTCCAGCACCAGAGGGGGTGTAGGCGAGCATGCCTGCTGGGCTGTCTGGCGATTATAGCAGAAAGCTTGTAACATGCCCATGCTTTCACGATTCAGGAGGCCCTACGGTAGTTTGCAAGGAGCTTGGCAGGAATTCTCGATCGTCCGGGGGGCTGCACCGACTGAAGCTGCCGCTTCCGAAAACATAAAGGAGCCTGCATGCCATGCTTCTTAGAAGGAGCTGCAAAATGTACAATAACTTTATGGGGCATCGTTCCTTAGCAAGCGTCCTCATCGTGGGCATAAGAGCATCCTTACAATACAAAGAATCGACCGCCCTATTCGATTTCAGATGTTGCTGTCCCCCACTACGACCCTGCAGACTGCCTGAACCATGCATGCAGCACGCTAGACTCCTGCACCTCCCTAAATCTTGAAACCACAAAACACTTGAAAGCCGCAAACCGCAACACCAAAAAAAAACCTAAACCCTAAACGCAATACCCTAAACCCTAACCCCTTTCACCCTAATTAAACCCCTAAGCCCTAAACATTAACACATTCAGCTGAGCATCTTCATGTCAGGGAGGCTGGCAAGGCTGTTGGTGAGGCTGTCCTTCGGCATGGCTTGAGGAACAGGGAGCTGTGTTGCTTTCTGATTACTACGTATACTTACTACTGCCACCATCTCATCTTCATTTTAGCACTGCTGTTTCTTATTGGTTTGGTTCCTATCGCTGCCACCCTACAGCCCGAAGCCCTCAACAGCTCGCTTCCTCAACTTTGAGGCCCTTATACAGCTCTTATCGAACCCTTTCAAACCCCTTGCAGAACACCATGTCGGATCGCGTATAGAACCCGATTAAAACCCGAATGAACCCTTGATAGTGCCAGTCCTTGAGCGTCTCCCAAGGAATGAGCTTTCTGCGCACAAGCTCGGCCATGACCTGGTTGGACGGACCCAGGGCTTCCTATGCCCCCCTTAGAACCATAATATAAATAATATCTTCAAAATATTCTCTTGGGTTTCATATGAACAAGCCCCCCTTAGAACCATAATATAAATAATATCTTCAAAATATTCTCTTGGGTTTCATATGAACAAGAAGAAAAAGCCTAAGAAGACTATAGCTTCGGGGTGCTGAGGATCGAGGCTTTCGGGCTGTGGGTCTATGGTTTAGGGCGCCTAGTTTGTGAACTTCGTGGCCGGAGCAACGTGACACCTTTCGCACTGTAGACTCATCACGATTAGTATGTAGTATCTATATATATAATACGTAATATAGGTTATATGACATACAGTAATATATATATATATATATATATATATATATATATATAGATAGATAGATAGATAGTATATACATATCTATCTATATATATATATATATATATATATTGTATATAATGATACACTACCTGCTGAAGTCCGCTACCAAGGACGAAAGCGCGGGTTCCTATTGCAGTGTTTCAGGATCTGCCGTGGCTGTGCCGTCGTTGCAGTCTTTATACCTTAAGAGCTTAGGGTTTAGCGATACCTTAAGACGTCTCTCCCATACCTAAGCTCTTACAAGAGAGTTCCTTATATGGGAGTTTCCGAACATCGGGGGTTCTTTGTTTTGGGGTCCGTATGGTAATGGTCCTACGATGTCGGGTACCATATTAGGGTCCCTATTTTCGGAAACTCCCTGAAAAATCTTTGGGGGTTTAGGGTTTAGGGGACTACATGTATGCTTAAAGTCTAAACCCAGGAACCCTGAGGCTCTAAAGACCCCTAAACCCTCAAACTTCTGAACCCTGCAAGGCAGCCGAACCCGAAACCTTGAAACGTAGTCCTAAACCTTTACAGTAGCAGGAATTACAGGACCCTTGTAGATAGCCTTTTAAGTTTGAAGGAACCCTTAGAGGAACCCGTAAAGGAGCCCTCAGTCCTAAATCAGCAGGTTTTTTTACTTTCACGGGGGGCGCCAGGCCTGGGCCGTGACGTCCTGCTTGTTCGGGTCCTTGCGAAGCCACGGAGGTTCAGGCTTTAGGCTTTAGGGTACAGGGTTTGGGGCTTGGGGTTTAGGGGCTGAGAGTTTAGGGTGTTCAGGGTTTAGGGTTCCTTTTTTGCTGATCGCGATTTGCCATCTGCCAGTTAGGAAAGGGCTCAGGGTTTCGGCGCTTAGGGGGTTCAGGTTCTGGGGTTCGAGGTTGTGGCGGCTTCTTTGCGGGGAGGCCTTCCTAAACAGAATAAGACTTTATAGGGCTTTCAAAGGGTGTGACCTAGGGACTCTATTGGGGGCCTCGGTACTTTGCCACAGTCAAGGCGAGCTGGATAGGTACTTGGAGGTTCATGCATGGTTATAAATGGTGTTACAAGTAGGGTAACTATAGTTACAATCCATATTAGGGGACTTCTAACCCCACTTAGAACTACCCATGAACCTCCAAGTAAATCCTACACCCCATGTCGAACGTGCAGCAAAGCCACGTCGAAGCCAGTTTCCAGCAGCCACTCCAAGCCTTATTCGCGATTTAGGCAATTTAGGCTTTAGGGCTTAGGGATTGAGGGTTCGAGTCTGAGGGCATAGTGCAACTCAGGGTCCATTTGGGCGTTTGAGCCTTGTATTACAGGCTAAGGTTGTATGTGCCAGGTTGGGTACAAACAGGAAGGCTTTTACTAGTAAGGCTGCTGCTCCTGCTGCTCCTCCTCCTGCCAACACTCTACGAGTAGCCCAGAACGTGACACGGACACCCAACTCTGTGTGGTGGAAGGGTTGGTCATGGGCCTGGTTGGGGAGGTCCTATCTACTCATCAACAAAACACGATTGCAGCCTAGGGGCACAGCCGAAGAGACTTAAACACTGGCAATTCAAAGGAACCTCTCAGCATTGAAGTAAGTAGGGGGCCTTGAGACTTCATTATTACTTGTCAGGCAACCCATTATGCAAAAGGTCCAAGTATCTAGTAAGAAAAACCTACTACCCTTCCGAGAAATAGCAGGCACTACTACTGAGGCTGTTATACTTAACCCGGCCCAAACACCCAATCTGATTGGTTGTTTCGGACCTTTCGGGTGTGAATACCTGCATTCTGCTTACGAGGCACCCTGCTTGGTGTCCTCCTTGGTGGGCTGCGCTTTGGTCCAGTCTTCCTGTCGATTAGCAGGGTGGCGAGGGGCTGCAGGCGGTACTCGTTCAGGGTCTGGGGCCTGGGGCTTAGGATTTTCAGCTTGGGCTTGTTGAGTGTAGGGCCTAGGCTTCGGGTGAACTCGTGAAATTATACGGTCATCGGATGTCTTATGTTATGTGCGGTGCGGGCTGTGCGGATTTTTGCCGGGACCACCACATTTACGTTAGAACTCGCAGAGAATTCAGATCCCGGATGAATGTCCCCTTGCTCAAGCCGATTACAGTCCGCTATGTTGGCTTGAGGTCCAAACTCGTGCATGCACATTATACCACTATCCAGAAACTGCTCCTAAACCTATGGCCAGGGTGTAGAACCCGAGTCAGCTTAAGAAACATTAGACTGGGCATCAAACTGTTCTGGCCGTTCAAAAATGAACTGAGGCGGGTTCTTCACCATGAGCTTACAATTAAGCTGCTCATGAATTCAACAATCCCTAAACCTTAAACCCTATGGCCCACAACAGCCCTGCCTGCAGCGTGTCACCCTGCTGGTCTTCGCCATAGTACTGGCAAATCTTCCTGGGGCCCAGGATGTTGGCAGGAGGTATTTCGGTGCTTGTTCTTGGGGGAGAGTAGGAATCAGGGCTTATCCGGCTTAGGGTTTAGGGATTACAGCTTCATCTTCCTTGTGTAAACTAAATTGTGTCGGCTCGTTCTTGGCATCGCCTGGCAGCTCTGGAACGCCACCTTTGAAACACATTCACTCAGAATCCTCTTAATTAAATAATAAGCGTATCCTTTTTACTACTATTGGGTTTTAATGCTCCCTCTCTCTCCCTCTCCTCTTTGTACACAGGCTTGACTGGACCTCGCCCGGCCAGGTGCCCCGCTGCTCTGCGAACTCAAAGTCCCCTTCTGTTGTCTCTCTCTCTTCTTCTTCCCCGGGCCATGAGGGGAGTGTGAGACCCCTCGGCCTTGCAGGCCCCCCCGATGTTCGTGGGGCTTTTGGTCTCTCTCTCTCTCTCTCTCTCTCTCTCTCTCTCTCTCTCTCTCTCTTTCTCTCTCCCTACATGTCACCATCTCTACCTGTTCGGCAAGCCTACCCAAACCGAACCCCTGTTCCTTTTTCTTGCACCTGAACCTAGACCTGAAAGTCAAGGCTACTCAAAGCCCAAAACCCCCTACTTGTCGGGTATCATGGAGAACTAAAGGTTGACCTTTTTTGGTTATATAGGAATGATGTAAGGACTATGCTACCCAAAAAAGGTTAAAGGCTACCTACTCTACTACTAGGACCCGGAACTCTCCATCCGGCGCCGGGTCTCTTGACGTACTGCTTGTCGAACTTGGGCTTGGAAGCACCGGCATCCACCTTTGGGGGCGTTCTTCGGGCTTTGAAGTTTTTTTCCCTCTCGCATGGCAGGAGACTATGTCGACAGGCGAGGTTGGTTAGGGGACAAAGAGGTATCATGCTTGTGATGACCATTCCGGTCTTAACGTTTGGGGTTTATGGCTTAACGGTTTGGGGTTTAGCGCTTGCGTGGGGCTAAGGTGATATACTTGGGGTTCGGGGTTTACGCTCCCGCAACTCGGACACAGCCAGAGGAGGTCTCTCGGTTCGCAGTCGGATTGCTGGCGGGAATTCGAGTTAAATAAAGCTGCAGCCACCTCTAGTTGCCATGAAGCTGGCAAAACACCGGGTTTAGGGTTCGGGCGGTTATACCCTAGGGGTCAAAATAGCCCGACAGCCTTATATAGTATGGTCTTTGGGCCCAAAAGCTTTAATATATGAGTCCTTAGATCCCCCAGGGATAGGCTGTGGGGCTAGGACTTGGTCGGAGTCTTGTGACAAAGATTGGTAGTCTCTAGACAAACAAGCGTTGAGGGTGCTTTCGAACATGTTTGCCGTTTCGAGCTTCAAGACTCTGTTCACCCTTCGGCAGTTCAGAACTGTCTTGCATTATGAGGCTTAGGTTTAGCATCAGAAGGCTCTTGTAAGCGGTCGGATCGCGGGTCAAAGGTCTGCCTCCTGAGCTGCAGATTTGCAAGCCTTCAGGTCCTCTGCGCTGAGACTCTCACGACTCTTGGACCCAAAACCGAAAGACCGCGCAGATCAACATCCTAACCGCAAAAGATAAGCCCAAATCTCTATGAACCCTTATCAACTTGACACATCCCTAAACCATCTGAACTTAAGAGGGCTGAAGAGCCCCTAAAGAAGCCTCAAACCCTAAATCCTGACATAACATAACCCTAAACCAACTCTCATTTCGAATTATAAGACTTTCCCAAACAAACAACGGCGGACAATGGATAGGATTACTGTACACGATACTTGAAATGAGGAACCCCAAAGAATAGTATTCCGTAGTGTTACTAACTGTTCGTGCCTCTATGGTAGAATTCCCTAGCAACCGCTCCACCTGCTTCGTTCGCTTCTTCGCGGCAGAGATCTCCTGTGGGGCGAGGCAGAAAGGTCTAATGTAATGCGAGGCAAAGGGCTTAGGTTTGGCGTTCAGGGTTTACAAGAGGGAACAGATACGTTATGGTATAAGACCGCACTTGTACAGAGACTACAAAGGGATACGCTTACCAAGCATTCAGACTTTGACATTGACACTGTGAAAGACGTTCTTCCCTGACCCTCCGCCTTCCATTCTATTCTTCTCCCTCCTGGATGTTCGAAACGGACGCCTGCTGTTGAACCCTTACCTGCACTTGGAGGTTCATGGGTTGTGATAGGCGGGGTGATAAGTCCCCCAATACGGGTTATAATTTTAGTTACCTTACTAATAATACAACCCACTTATAACTACCCGTGAACCTCCAAGAAAGTCCAACAGCAGCCTATGCTGCTACAGGTCATACGTACGCTCGAAAACCTGGAACACCTGCAGGAAACCTTGAGGCCTCAAACCCTGGTTCCTAAATCCAACCTGGAGCCCTTCAACAATCCATACTCCGCGGTAGCTTTGCAAAGGCCAAGAAGAAAAACAACACGAATAGCAATCCACATGCTCTGCGCCAAGTTTGCTTACAATAAGGAACCTATTGTACAAGACCTGTTTGCATTCAAGTTCTCTCTTCTCCAATAACTAGGCCCAAACAAAGTTCACTTTTTAAGCTAGACCAAATATATGAAGCCAAAAAGTTTAAAGTTCTCCAATAGGCTAAGTAAGAGTTCTATAGTGGGCAGTCTAGAGCCTAGGCCGCACTAGTGCCAAGACAAGGGGCATCCATGTAGGCAGGTCGCACACCGACGGTCTGGACGGAAAACCTGACAACTGTTCTTTAAAGCGGGTTCAGAGTTTCGGATCTAGACTCTAGACGGTCTGTGGTCAACATCTGACTTTGGGAAGAAAGTTTCCGCGTTTCTTCGGCTGCAGAGCCTATGGTGTGTTGTGAGATGATAAACCCATGCCCCGAATTTCCCGCAACCAGCACGACGCGACCAACCCCGTAGACCCTAAACTTACAGTTCCAACCGAAAGCGGCGCCCCGACACTTGTGCTTTTGAGCTTCCCGTTCTTGGCGCCAGGACAAGGCTCTTGTGGGAGTTTCCGAAAATAGGGGACCCTAATGTAGTACCCTAAATAGTAGGATCCTTGTCAAAAGAACACCAAAATAATGTACCCCTAGTTTTCGGAAACTCGATTTACAGGGCTGATGCCTTAGAACCTTTCAGCGTTCGGTTACGGGTCACGGTTTAGGGTTTAGGGGTTTAGGACCTTTCAGCCTTCGGTTACTATACCCCGAACCATAATACAAAATCATGTCGTTAATATTCTCTTGTGTTTTATGTGAACAACACTCAAAAAAATCCTAAGGAGGCCATAGGTTAGGGGTCTGGGGTTAGGGTTTAAGAGGAAATCAGCGCCTAGTTTCAGGCTGATGGAGGCCTCAGGGGCATCTGTAGTGCACGGTACACGAGGTCTACAACATCCAAAGCCCACCCCAGAGACTCTAACACACATAGAACGAGATTAGGCAAAATGTCAAGGAACCCTGTAATGATGTACGATCTATGCCCTATGCGAGTTTCAGAAGATAATGCGAGTTTCAATAAAGCTAAAGGGATCCTGATCCGGAAAACCCCAAACCTAAGCCGCAATGAGCCAAGAAGCATGTTGTCCGGTCCCGGAGCCCGACTGCCTGAATGCAGCCCAGGCCACGGTATCTACGGTTTGGGGCTTTAGGGGCTCAAGTCTTATAACCCTGCAGCCACCACCCAAAATTCCAGTGCACACAGAGAGAGAGAGAGAGAGAGAGAGAGAGAGATATATATATATATATATATATATATATATATAGATAGATATACCAATTATCGGAACTTAGTGGGTTGTAGGGCCGGGGTGGCTACCGGGACGCATGACCCTGTCCTCGGGACTGTACGAGGGCTGCACATGACCTACTCAGGTCTGCCTGTAAAGGATCCGCGAGGGCCGAAGTTCCAGCAACTGCATGGGTTTAGGGCTAAGGGTTTTTTTCCCTCCTACCTAGCAAGGACACAGTCTGCGTTGCAGGGTGTAGGGTTTAGGTTTAGGGGTTTGGGGGCTTGGGGGGCTAATATAGGGGCCTTAATAATTGGAATAGGGTTTTGGGGCCCATCACACTATAGGTATAATGAGGAACCCCCAAAATAGTACGTATAGGTAATTATTCATGCCCGAATTTTACAGGGTTAGGGCTTCGGCCATCAAACTCGGACAATCCAAGCGAGGCGTGTGGTTCGGATCTGATGAGTGAGGCTGCAACTACCAGGGGGGGTCGAGGGAGCCTCACACAATTGTGACCGAATCCTATAGTCTCAACCATCTTACCTACAAGATTACACATCAAAGAAACACAGGCCTTTTATAAGGGCTGAACACTTCTTGTGTTGTCACTTCGTACTCCTTCACTACCCCGACGCAGCACCGCCTACTCAAGCTTCAGACATTGAAAAGGCAACGGGAAGTTCGACATCACTGAATAGTTTAGAGGCCTTAGTTACGGTCTTAAAATGATCGGAGACTGTTCATGAAAACTTTAGCTAAGCTCAACCCGAACTTCGTCCAAGCGGCGCTGCTCTCGCTCTGCCTCCTCACGTACTGCGTTCTTGGTCTTCGCCTGCTCCTTGAAGAGCTTCTTCCTCCAGCCAAAGTTTAGGGTTCATTCTTTGTTTTTTTTTGTTATGGTCCCTTTTCCTCATTCTTTAGGGTTTAGGTTTTAACAAGTTGTGTAGCTTTGGAACGGCTTTTGTGGCCGTCTTCCAGGGTTTTTAAAAGGGTTTGAAAAGGTTCCACTGGGTTCTTACACTTCCCCCTCAGCTCAAGTCAACTTTTGCATAGTTCTGCAGTTTTGAAACATTGTATGAGGTTCTTACAGGGTACTTCCAGTAGCCCAGTCACTCGTAAGGCGGTAAGTGTTCATTCAACATGCATTATGGTCCGCGTACAGATCCTAGTGACCTACTTGAAAGGGTGCAGGGCTTCTCTGGTAATATACGGAAATTAGCAAAAGGTGCTGAATGTTGGAAAAAGTTTTGCGATATAGACATCATACGGCACCCCAAGGAAATACGTTGGTAATTCATTATTGACCCCTTTAGATAAAGGTCAAAATTCTAGAGACCTTAAAACGTGATGACACCACTCCGAAGGCTGGGACGAAAGCTTCCGCCAAGTTGTTTTCGGGCTTGGGGTTTAGGGGCCCTTACCCAGGACAAATCCAGAGTACGATATCAGCAAGGGTTTGTCATTTAGGGCCAGAGAACAGTCTGCCTGAACCCTGGCCCTAAAAAATTAAACTGCTAGAGGGATCTGGGAACTTAGCAAGTTGGCTATGGATAGCAGATTTGCAAATCCACTAGTTGGAAATTTAGTGATCGCAAACCTGAACAACTGCTTCCCTGATCCTTTGGGTACGAGTGCAGCCCCTGGCACCAAAATCCAGACCCTTCACGTGCATGTAACTGCAAAAATGAAATCCCTGCGGCTCATAATATAGTGGCCTGGATAATTAGAATAGGGTTTGTTTACCATTATACTATAATTAAAATACGGACGCCCCACAATAGTTATTTACTCTTGGACCCTTCCCCTGAGGCAGTGGCATCCACTTGTTTTTGCGCAATTCCAAGAGTCCGTCGATCCTCATCACCAGGGGACTTACGCTCTCACAGGGGTTTAGGTCTATGAGAACGAATACAACAAGAATTGGAGTTGGAATCGTATAATTCAGCATAATTAACCGTAGCAGCAATTCTGCTATTGTACGAATGCAGCAGAACTTTTCAAGGTAATGAACAACGACGTGATGGCAAAAATACTGGACATGCGCATAACAGCAATAACCGAATATGTGATAATCACTGCAGCATTGATGCCAACACCAGAACGCTGGAGAATAAGGAATTTTGTCAAAGAGCTCTTGTCAAAGAACAATCGATACCCGCGAGGCCGAACCACAAAGACAGCGACACCTTAAATTCTAACTCAAACCTATCTCCGCTTAAAGCACTATAAAACCATAACCCCGAGAAACTACAATATGAACACCTGCAAGAACTGGGCCGTGGACAAACAACCAGCACAGCAGGTGCTTTATTGGGGGTTTGGGGTGTTGTACTGTGATTGTACAGGCGTTATCTTTTGCATCTGCAAACCCGTTTTGAACCCAACGTTTGAACAACAAAGATTTAAAAACAGGAACGTGGCTCCTAGGGAATGCCCGGTATTAGACCACTTGGTAGCTCGGTCAATGCCCCCCCAACCCTAAATTCGAATACCCTCAACCATCACCCCAAAAAAAAGCAAAACCAACACCGTACACTCTTTACCCCAAACCCCTACACCCTCGGCGGTCTGCGGCAAAGATGCTGGAACTGAATGCCTGGGAGCATGGCTTGTACTTGGAGGCAAAGTAGGTTGTATGTCTGCTTTATAAGTAGTTTATACGCAACACCCCTGATTGGTGTTATTCCGGTTAAGATCACCAACCTACTCAAAACTTAAAGCCTACATGCTCAATCCCCTTACCCTTGAGTAAAGATCAGGGTTTACACTCTCACAGCTCGGACAATCCAGGCGAGCTCTATCGGGAGAAGGGTGTCGACTCACACACTCGCACAAGGCTGGCGTGGCTAGGGTTTCGGGGACCTGGCGATCTAAAATGTCCTCAAGGCTTTAGCTCTCAAGCGGTGCCCTTGTCAAGAAACTCGGGTTTAAGCCAAGGCCTGTCGGGATCTTTTGGACAGCCCATGCTCACGTGAATCTACCAGCAAGAAAATCTGAAATTGACCACAGCATTAGATGGCATCGGGAATCTACGTACTGTTGTGAAAATTTTGTGTCTACTTAGGCAAATACAAAACCAGTTTATGAGTCAAGCTGCGCGTTCGGTGTTCCATCCCGAACCCCAAACCCTAATTAAACCCTAAAGCGTGTTAAGCTCCTTCTAGCTCCCCAAATAATACGACACCCTGACAAAAAGGGCCCTAAATGGGATCCCCAATTTAGAGTACTACCCTAAACCCTAAACCCTATACCCTAAACCCTAATCCCTAAACCCCAAATGGGATCCCCAATTTAGAGTACTACCCTAAACCCTAAACCCTATACCCTAAACCCTAATCCCTAAACCCCAAATGGGATCCCCAATTTAGAGTACTACCCATATAGAAGCTCGAAGCTTCCAGAGCCGGGAGGCGCTTGCTGTAGGCATGCTTGCCGTTGTTCCGCACGCCGGACCTAGTTCATTGTTGGGATTTTTCCCTCATTGTTTGGATAGGGTTTAGGGTTTAGGGGTTTAGGGGTTTAGGGGTACATTTTTATTCCTTGTTGGGTTTAAGTACCCATAAAAAATTAACATGTTGCCCAAGTATGACAAAGGGACAAGTCTTTCAGGCGCGCCGCGAAGGAGTTCATCAGCGACTCGCCCTGTTGAGTCTCCTTGAGTTGCCAGTGAGATCTGCTCAAAATCACGGTTCCGGTCTGCGGGGGCCCTTGTATTCAAGAGATTGCTGTGTTGGCAGCTTTAGAGAGGTAATTTCTCATTTTCTGAAACTCTCGCTAGAGACAACCCACGAGGTGCCAAAACAGGTACCCAAAGGCCAGGAAGTATCATCATCAGCCCCCAATTCATATACACCACTGGTATCCAGACGCGCCGGCCCCTCACTGAAGCTGATGTTGGGTGTGTGTTTTCTTGGATCCTGAATCTGAGGAAAGGGCTTTAGAAAGGCTCGCATAAGGTCCCACACTCCAGGTTCGATGGAACTGCTCTCGGATGCTCTTGAAACCTGCTGAATTGGGTGTTGTCGAAACTTCGTTTAGAGTTCATATTTAAATTTAGGATTATCCGGCGCTAAAGGAGCTAGGTAGAGACTCTAGCACTGCTAACGATAGGATGCACGTCTGCCGCCAGGGGACATCAAGAGTGAAGCCGATGGCCTGGAGAAGCTCGCACACGCACTCGATCATATGCTCTTCGGGCAGAGGGTTTTCTCCTGGGCTTTGAAGTAACCAGGGAGAAAAAAGGATAACTTCTGTTTCGTAATGGTTCCTTTAAAAAAAGGTAATAAAGTTATGTTTCGTAATGGTTCCTTAAAAAAAGGTAATAAAGTTACATGGTACTCCCACGCCCAGTCTCCCTGCTTGATGCCAATCAAGTCGTGGACGACCTCGCATGTCACAAGTCGATGCATGGTCAGATCACTTCAAACAGAACCTGAACACCTCTAACCCCAAAATCAGCAAACATCACAGGCCGCCTTCAGATTCAGGTTCCATGAAAATTCACGGCGAGTGCACCTACTGAAGTCCGTGCTTGAAAGCAGATCTAGGAAGGGCATACATAAGTGAAGCAACATGCACACAATTAATCATCGACCCCAAAGTAGATAATGTAGTCGCAACAATACTTGCAGCCACCCAGGAAGATCTAATTGAAAGCAAAACACAGGAACCCTCGTACCAAGACCATGATGCCCGGATCCAACCACAACGCCCCCACCTGGCCGATGACCTTCACAGCCAACAGCTGTCGGAGGAAAAGATTGCCGATGAACTTCATGTTAGCAAGCATCCTTTGTGCAGAGAAGGCTCGAGGGGCTTAGAGTTCAGGGCAAAGGCATCCGGGTGTGTTCCTTTACTGTGTCTCTTCTCGTCGTGAGGTTTGGGCGGTGGCTAGGTCTCCTTCCGGGCTGTTCTTGAAAGTTTCGGCTCGGGTTTTCTCAGCAGGTATCTTCACGGTGTTTAGGGCTGTTTTAGGCTATTTGTACTTAAGAATTCACCCAAGGGACCTGGACCTAAGGGTTTTAGGGTTTAGGCTTTTTTTCCCTCACGGTTCAGTGGGGGCTGAACACCCCCGTGCTTGCTGCGGAACAATGCTACCAGGCCCCAGAGGCTGCAGCACAGGTACTTTGAGACTTTGAGGAAAGCCCTGAACCCGCAACCGGAATCCATATACCCCTAACCCTAAAACCCCCAAACCACCAAGCCACTAGCTCTGATCCTCAACGCCAAAATGCGCGAAAACCCTACACCCCAAAGCAAAACCACCCGAAAGATGTTTTCGAGGTAAACAGCCTAAACCGTGAGCACAAAGCGTTGTGGGCATAGGGTTTGCATCACGGTTCGGTTAGAGGGACACTTACACATACCGGAACTGCAGCTCCTAATAAAATACACAACCTGCTATCTAACTACTGTGTAGACAGTAGGTTTTGTATATGATTAAGAGCTGCAGTTATCTACTGTGTAGGTACTTAGATTTGCGGGAATCCTTCGGGCATGCCCCTACCTGGACCCCAAAAGTATGCTGATTAATAGCCCTTTTACGGTTTTGGGCCATTATTTTACCTACTTTCGGGGGTCTAGGTAGTCGTTCGAGTCACTTGCCCTTGCGCTTCTTCATCTCGAGGTTCAGGTCCTCGGTAGACTCGAACTTCTTTCGGTCCTCGCAGGCACGCAGGGGATCAGGGTTTACGCTCTCACAACTCGGACACAGCCAGGCGAGGTTCTTAGGTGCGGAGTCGGTGTGAAAAGTTGAATGATGTCGATTTTCACTTGTGCCAGTTCAGGGTTTAGGGTTCAGGGGGGTTTATGGGGTGTATGGAGTTGAGGGGATTAGGGCGATTAGGGTCCAGGAGAGGCGTCGTTGAGGGCTCATAGGACTGAGAGGATTTGGGATGAGGGTCTACGAGGCTTTGACGTGCTAAAGGGATACGTGGAAAGTCGCAGGTTAGGAGAAGCTAAGACCAGACAGTTCGAAGAGGACAGTGATGATGATGAGACGGGGAAGATTGCTCTGAACATCTCTGAACAGCTGCACTGGTAAATTGGGTGGGATCGATCCCTGCAGCTGATCAACTTCCCTCGCGGTTGGGCGCTGGGCGAAACAGAAAAAAGCGCAATCACTGCATAAAGCAACAAATTGGTAGCCTGTCTTTCGGAAGACCTGCTCGGACGGTGAGTTTAGGGTTAACAGCCTCGAGTATGGCAGATCAAAGTACGACAGTATCGGTCTTCTTGCAACTACGCCACTATGCATCAGCCGCTAGGACGCCTCAAACCCCCATACAGGAGAGTTGAAGTTCATAGAAGGCATCACAAACCACAGGAACGTGCTTAGTATGTATACATATATATATATATATATACATACACACCTATGTAAATCCCGAAACCTTCATTGAACAGTCACTCCTCGTCTGTCGGCTCGAATGTGGTCGGAAGGCTCTCGAACTCATTCTGCACCTCGGTTCAAATCACTTCAATCAGCGGAGTTTCGCTCGGGCTCTCTATGGCTGTCTCGGCTGTCATTCGGGGTCCTATCAGAGGTCTGCAGGAGCCTCATAGACTGGCCTGCAAGGATTCTGCAACTGCGTAGGCGCGGTCGGAATCATCGTAACACATCTCCATGCTTCATCTTGGTGACGGACTTCTTCTTCCCGGGGGAGGAGGGTTCTGCATAGCTTCTCCAGGGCTCCCTATGCTGAGGATGATATATACTGCTTAGGCTGAAATTGGGATCCGCTTTTTGAAACTAGAGCTTGGAAACCCTACCCAGGGAGCCCAATACCCCTTAATGTATTAATGTGCCTTAAAACATAATTCAGGGGCTTCATATTGTGATTTAAGATATGCTCCTTAATTGAGCCCCGCCGGGGCTCTCTGGGCATTCACGTCTGGAGTTGGGGAATCTCGTCTCTGCCCTGCAATCCGGAACTTTCCGGCCACACCCCACTTGCATGAACTGGAAAGCCTTTGATCTTCTGTTGGTATCATTGCAGCTACTGTTGGTATCATTGCAGCTACTAGTACGGCTTCTGTTATGTATATGTAGTGGTTGTTCTCTCTGTAATGAAGTTTTCTGTCTTGTTCTGATACTGCTAAGTTATCAGCGTGTCAGCCGCCACAAAACCGAGACTTGACTGGCAATCCGCAAATCTTGGCCGTCTACCGGCAGAAAGGTGAACCACAGTTACCGCAACCGTACCTGGAAGCCCTCAAACCTTTCGCCACAGGCCCTGCGCTTAAAGCGTTCAGTGCCAACGATACGGCCGATACGATATGCAACTTCTCCGAAACAGCACATGCAAACAAACACATGCAGTCACCAAACCTGCAGGATTTGAGGTTTGGGCTAGGGGTCTAGATTTCACAGTGCGCAACAATCAGACAGATGAGGGGCTGTGTTGAGCAGCACGCGAGTGAAGCTGTGTGGCTTCTCGCCCTCGTTCTCCGCTGGGAACTCTGGGTAGCGAGTTCGGAGTGCGAAGACCATGTCTGCATAGGTCTCGCCTGCATGGTTCCACTACCATGGAGTTCGCAACAAACCCCTGACCACATCTGTACATCCTAAAACGAAGATCCTACCACACAAAGTCCTGAACCCTGCGCTCGAAAACTCTTGTGAACCACTCTTGTGAACCCGGTATCTCGAACATCTCTGGGACCCAAGATCCGTGTACGAAAAATTAGACTGGGCTTTGAAGTGTGTTTTACCATACGTATGCAAGGACGCGGAAGCAAGCCATGATTAAAGTAGAGTCTTGGAGCTGTGCAAAGGTTTGGGTGAGAGGATGCATAACAAGTGGCTGGCGATACAGTCTGCACAGTGCGGCCGGAAGCAACGACAACTCTAGTCTGCCGTGCGAGCCGTGCCATAAATACTCATCTTCACTTTATCCTAGGGGAGCCACAGGTTGAGTTGGGGTTACAAAGGGACAACGGAACACCAGAAAGGTTAACGATTGCCTGCTCCGCCGCTAAGGCTAAGAGGATGACAAGAACACGAGGCGAGAAGAGTAACAGTGCCTGGCAACCGCCTTTCTAAACCCTGGTGAAGACCTTATACAATGATTCTAGGATCGTCGGCTCAACATGTATGGTTGTTTGCACGGCTTTGTCTTTGCTTTCTGGATCTTCGCTTCAATCGAGGCTAGCTATGTACAGAGTTGGTCTACGTTTTCCGCAGGTTTATATGGATCTGTTTACAGTGCAGGGTGATGTCTGTATCTCATTCAAGTCTCGAAGACGATGATAGACCAGTCCATGATCCGAGATGAACATCTTTAAGCATGCGTGTGCATTTATCCCAGCGCATATATGCATTCAGATATTCATTTCGCTCGTGGCGCTGTTGGTGCTTGTACTAGCCGGTGCTTGTGGCGGCGTCGCTCTCGGTGTTGGTGTTGGTGGTGGTGTTGCCGTTGTTGCTGCTGTTGTCGCTGATATCCCTGTTGTTGGTAAGTAGCGATGAGGTGGCCATGTTCATGTTGCGAGTACTAAGACTGGGATGGGGAGTCTTGCATGTCCCTGAAAGCCCTTCACGATGTCTTCGCGATTCTGGACTTAACATCCCGAAACCCTACCCGCAGGTCCAAGTGACAGTAGTGCGGCTCCACCAGGGCTTTGCCGAAGATGATCTTAATCACAAACTCCAGCTCCTCAGCCTTCTGCAAGTCAATCTGTGCCTGGGATGTCTGAGATCTTTACTCGAATTGGGGCGACAGGGCTTGTGGGTCTAGGATCAGGACAGGCCAACCCCAATAATACAGGTACACACATCCACACTTAGAACCTACTTGCCGAGTCCGTGGAGCTTCCCACATACCTTGACTTCCGCTTGAAGTTCTACAAGAGGGACTCGCAAAAAGAGACCCTGCGATTGGAAACCTAAAACTTTGAATGAAATCCCTTACCTCGATACCCAAACACCCGTGCCTCGAACTGATGCATCACACCTAAATTTTAAATCTTGCACCTTCGAGCAACAAGACACTACAGATCCTTACCCCCAGAAATCAATCCTTGAACTTACATATCTGTGGACGGTAAGCCCCCTTCCCCTCCCCGCTCTTTTCCGCAGGAAACAACAACTCCATATAAAGCAGGGCGTGCTCAACTCAGCTGCACCCTGAACGCCTAAGACATCGACAGATCGGGATGCAAAGGAGCTGAAACCCTGAACCCTAAAATACCACACCCCTCTACCCTCTCCTATCTCTTTCATCTCTTTCATCTCTTTCATCTCTCTCTCTCTCTCTCTCTCTCTCTCTCCCTCTCCCCCTCTCTTCTTCCGCAGGGCTTGGAGGGCTGGTTAGGCCCCCCGGCCACATGGGCCCCCATGTGTTATGGGGCTTGTGGAAGGGCGTGACAAAACGGTGAGTTTTCCTGATATGCAGACCCTCTCTCTGTCTCTCTCCCTCCCCGGCACAAAGCCCTGAACCCCAACACCACAAAGTCCTAGACCCCCGAACCCCAAACTCTCTTTCTCAGGCACAACTCCCCCCCCCCCCCCCGCCAAAAAAAAAACAAGCCCTTTTTTTCTAAACCCCTAAAATCCTACACCCCCAGCTTCTAACCCCCCCAAACCCTAAACCTTTGTAACCCTGTTTGTCTAAACCCCTAACACCCTACACCCGCAGCTCCGAACCCCCCTAAACCCTAAACCTTTTTAACCCTCATCCGCGAGGCCAAAGTCTCCACGATAGTCTTCAGGTTGTCGGGGCAAATCTTGTTCAAGAGACCACGCACCCTTCTCTCAAGCTCCTGTCGTGGTTTAGCGTTCAGGGTTTTAGGTCGTTTATGGTTGAGGGGCTGTCGTTTATGGTTGAGGGGCTTAGGTGCTTTGGATTTAGGAGTCTAGGGGTTAATTAGGTGTTTCGGTTTCATGTCTCCTCCAAGCGTGACTGCGGCTCGGTGATCTTGTATGCGTTCTCGCCTTGCTTGAGCACCTGGCTCCGGACACACTTCGCCGCAGGGGGTCATCCTAAAAGCCCAGTTACCTACTTTATATATATATATATATATAGCGGGTTACTGGGGTTATAGTTATGGCTACTCAAACGTCTTTGTAGGGTTCATGGAGTTAAGTTGTGGCTACTAAAAGGTCTTTGCAGGGTTCATGGAATACTAGCCTGGCTACTTTATCGGTGACTGGGTTTCTCGGGTAATCCTCTGTTCTCCAGGCACTCCTGTAGCCTCCAAAACAGAAGTAACTATTCTGTTGTATTTGAGCAACCTCCTTGTGCCGGCATAGAACTTGTGTCGACGAGCTGAGGGATGGACAGTGGCGAGAACCAATCGTTATCGCAAGGACAACAGACTGAACATAAACACTAGCAAAGTCATGCAGTTTGCACTAGATACGTATCTCGCAATCCGGAATCCGACTATAAGGGGTCTTAATCATGGAGTGACAGTATAGCTTTCATGATGTATTAGGACGAGCCCCCAAATGAAGCTGTCCGAGCGCCGGCTCGCGTGCTCGTGTCGGCCGACGGATGTCGTTTCCAGACGACACGGTTGGGCGGGTCGTGCTTCCTGAGTTTATGCTTCCTTAAGTTAACGAGGTCTGTATGGGATCTATGGGGTTTCGGCGCTCACACTCGGACAAAGCACACGAGGTTATCAGGGTCTTGCTTTGGGGCTGTTTTGGGGTGTGGGGTCCCAGTGCAGAATCTAGGGCCTCTAGCGTTTCCGGTGTCCGAAGATTGCAAGGAGCGTGAAATAACGCGATGTTAATAACGGTTTTGGGAGATTGCCGGGGAAAGGACTAGATGGTGGCTACCGAAGACCTGCAAAACGGGGTTAGTCTCGTTTAGACACAGCCCTGAAACCGAAGCCCTAAACAATAAGCCCAGGGTGTCGGAACAAAGCATGCAAGCCATACGCTGACCTACTGGAGACACAATGAGCCCTAGAAGGCAATGGACCGGGATCGATTCCGGCTCATAAGACGTTCGCCGAGTGCTGCCGGGCTCGTCTACCAACCAGTGCCGCAAGGTTCCTTACGCCTCTGGGGCCTTCATAGAATAAGGGTTTGGGGGATATTGTACTATGACTGGTACCCTGCCACTCTGAGCTCGACGCCATGAAACCACCCACTGCACCAAGCTGCGCATAATATAATCCTAAACCTCGGGTTCACCCCAAACACACGCCTCAACCTCAAATCCAAGGCCCTATACGTTATAAACTCTATGGGCGCCAACCCTTGGCCTAAACCTCAACCCGATAACCTCATACCTTAAACTTTAAACCCTACACACCCTTTTTTGCATCCAGGCCTATTGCGACTGCCCTAAACCCTACACCACCTTAAACCGCAAAACCCCACGCCCTAATACCCATAAAACACTAAACCCCCAACCCCAAACCCCAAACCCTAAACCCTAAACCCCAGCCCTAAGGGCCAGATGTTGATCCCAGGTGCGGCGGATGTCTGGCGTCGCTCGCTCGCTGGGCCTCTCGCCCGTACCGAGGCCAGAGACCTTGAAATTTGTGAGATCTTGAGTCAAACGGGAAAGGAGGGGACCCCTACCCTATAATGGGCTGTATAATGGGTATATAGTAGCTATATTAAGGGTAAATACCTAGGGGTCCTTATTAAGGGTCCCTCCTTTTACCCTTGGATTGGGGTGATGTAGGGGAATTCCTCACAGAGATCATACTAATTATGTAGGATCCTTTGCATAGGCATAGGGATCCTTCCATAAGTTAGACCTCGTTTTCCGAAACTCCCATCTTATCTCACTCCAACTCCTTGGCGAATGAAGTGTCCCTCTCACAGCTCGATCCCTTTTTCCATCAGCCCGTCTACGACCCCGAGCCCATCGATCCAATAAGAGCACCCCTGAAACCCTGAGCCCAAAACCCTAAATCCCTAAACCCTGAACACTGGACCCTATAACACCTTTTTGAGTCGCGGGCTGCAGCCGGACGTCGGAAACCCCTGAACCCTTAAGCCCTCAAGCCTGAAGTCTCAGCCGAGACGCGGAGGCATGCTTCTCGGAACGGTGCAGCCGCCAGATGCGGAGCATCAACCTCGGGGCACAGGGGTTTAGGGTTTAGGGTGTACTTTGGCCTGAAACGGATTCGTATTTAGGTATCTACTGTAAGCCCATGTACGTATCCTGTATAGTAAACATATGCGTAGGTACATGGACCCCTTGAGAATGGTTGCCGAACCGGCGCAGCTTGCCAGCAAGAGCCTGGCATCCCAGCATGTCATTGACCGAGCTCCTTTATCTTTTGACATGCTCAACCCGATCGGTGCTACAGCCGATAACACGCCACAACGGCTCCAAATCCCTTACTCATAACGATAGAGCCCTTTAGCCCTGTTTGAGCCGCCGTGCTTACAAGTGCCCACTTCTGAGCGTTTGGACATGCGGACAAACCGGCACTACATCCTTGACCTGCTGGACTTGTCCATAAACCCTAACCTGGACCCTCGAAGTATGGAGAAACACAGCCATTTTTTGGGTGTTGGGCCAT